CTTGGAACTTCTCCCTCCACGATTATGCTGTGTCACACACCCATTCAGAAGATCTGACCCTTTTGCTGCTGACTGTTTTTTCTTTAATGCTGTTCTTAGGAAAGTCTTTCCCCACTACAAGCCCATTGCTTGATATGCTTGGGACATGTGTGTCTAGGATAGATCTGAGTGAAATGCAAGCTGTGCAATGACTTCATGATCTGGTGGATGTAGCATTGCTTCAAACTTCAAGTAAAAGTACAGAATTTTTCGCGCCATCATTACCATAGCTCTGTTGTTCACGTGTGTGACTTCTGTTTCTTTTACATGTTCATTAGGACCTTTGTCATACTGTGGAAAAACTGAGCAACCCTCTGGCCTCTCTCTCAGCCTGTGCCCGAAAAGTGGCCAACAAAGAAAAAGCTGCTCAGGAGGTTACAGCATTACAGCAAAAATATGAAAGGGTGCTAGAAAATGCTAAGGAGAAACAGACCTTATTGGAGACTCTTCTGGCTCAGTGGCAGAAGTGAGTAGACTCGCACATCTGTTATGATGGACGCAGAGACCTTCCCGCGGTCAGTGTGTGAGACCAAGGGGATGGCTTGAGTTGGTAATTCTACGTTGTGATTTTGTTAGGCAAGAGAAAGACCTGTCTGCCTTCCTGAGCTGGTTGGAGGGGTGTGAAGCTACAGCCAGTCCTTCAGAGCAGTATGTTTCTGCTGACAGAGTTAAGCTGGAAGGTGAACTGCAGTCACTGCAGGTATGTTTCAACTGAAAGGTTGTCTCCCTACATTTTCTGGTTTCTTTCTGTGTCTTTTAAAGGGTGGACTTGCTCAGTTATAGTCTGACAAGTCACTTGATTCTAGGTTTTGAAATGGCCTAGGGAAGTATTACATTATCACTGTTGTTATTCATCAAAGACAAGAAAATGACAGGAAGAATGTTGTTTACAAATATAATATACCAGCTCAAGAAGAATAAAGCCCTAGTATATCCTATTATCTGTCAAAGAAGGACATTGGTCTGCTTGCCAGAGGGTTTCTTCTCTAGAGGAATTCCTAATTCCTTTGTTAGACAATGCTACTTTCCTTCTTTTGCATGTGAGGAAAGTTGCTCAGATGACAAAATACTCAAAGGTTTTGAATTCACAATGAAAGTCTGATTTCTGATTTATTTTTTTAAAACACAAGACTTTCATCCTGTTCTAAAGTATGCCTTCCCTTGGAATTTTTGCTGTTTGTTTTTAGGTTAATATCAAGCAGTTGGCCAAATGTAGCGTCTTCTACACCCTCCATGAAGCCAATGAGACCATAATTTCAGTTTTAAATATTACTAAAGAGAAGGAAAATTATTTTGGGTTTTGTTTTTTTCTTTGGGCCAGTTTGTGACTTTTCCTCACAACTCTATTGCTGCATACAAAATATATTGCAAAACTTAGTCTTGATTTTAGCCACTTTCCTCATACAGTAGAAAGTGGAAAGGTCACACTTTGTTCAACTTCAGTGAATCCTTAATGAATTACAGTTGCAGATTTAGCTGACTGAGAGGTACTTGCTTGTCCTAATAGACCTCAATTCCTCCAAGGATTTAACTGTGCCCATTCACTTGTCTCAAAGACATGTACTGGAAATTCCTAACTGATTTTTTATTATTTTTGTTATTTTGCATAATATGATGCCATATTTATTCTAAAGGCTGTACATTCCATTGTTTTCCCAGGATCTGCGAGCAGATATTGAATCCCATGCTTCAGCCTATGCGAGCCTGTTACAGTTAAATGAGTCGCTGTTCCCAACAGCTTCAAAAAAGTGCATGAAAACAATAAAAGAAAAATTTGAAGAGCTGGATGAGAGGTGGAAAGCTTTACCACAAACTGTTGATAAAAGGTTTGTGCTTCAGAATGTTTTTTATATGTTAAATGAGAGTAAACAATATCCAGATGAGGATTCCCAATCCTGAAACATAGTTTTTTACAGTGTTACCATTAGGGTAACAAAGGTTTAAGATTCATATTGAACCTCCAAGCTCCAAGGAATGGTGTGTGAGGAATCCCACAGGTTTATCATGCTCTATTTTTGGCATAATCTCTCCCTATTTTTTTGATAGAAGAGTTCTGTTTGAATGAATGTGGGGCAGGAAATTAAGATAATGTTGCATTTCCTCAGTTATAATTTCCCAAGTAACTTCCTAAATTTTTTCCAAAATCTGTAATATCTGCTCTTCATTTTTTTCAGTTATATGCTTTATCTTGTGCAAAGCCACACTATTATCTCTTTAAACCCACTTTGAAGCTTTCATTTGCCATAAATACTATAAATTCTCAATTGTTAGGCTGCTGGCTCATGTTAGGTTCAGGAACACTGTCTTCTTTTTTGAAAGTGTATGTTGTATATTTGGATTTCATTTGTTTTGGTGATGAACATACATATTTTACTATTTGTAAAGGAGCTTAAATAATAGACATCATCTTCTAGATGCTTTAACAATATTATTGTTTTACAATGTAATGATCTCCTACAAAGTATTTCATGTTGAAAATTATCTAGAGAAATTTCTAAGGGAAATGGGAAGGTAAAAGAGAAGGCCCTTTTTAAGGTCAATGTTTAGAAGCTTAATTCTGCTAGGTGCTGAGTACTCATCTGGGCACGTTCCTCCTTTGAACTGTGTTCCTCTGAGCAGGCTTGACCCTCCCTTACTTCAGTGGTAGTTCAGCATACAGCTACTCACCCACTGCCTAAATTAATGAGAATCTCACCTTACATGTGGTGTCGCAGATGACAGGGCAAACAGAATTGCTATGTCTGAAAATTGAAGTTTAGCTTCCATCAGTATCATTCTCTTTGCTGCAACTACCCCCATGAATAAAAGTTGAAGAACATGCCTTGATTGTTTGGGGCACTTCTAACAGCTGATATGAATAAAACAGTGGAAGCAGGAAAGAGCCAAACTGGTACTTTCAAGTATTATATTATTCCCCAGTAAAGAAATCAAATCGGCAGTCATCACATTTGCAACATAAATTAACATTTCCTTCTTTCCTCCCACCTGGCACTGATTTTAATGCTGTCCAGTCAGCTGTGGTTTTGATTATGGGAAGTGATTAATTTACATCAAGTGCTTTCATATTTACATCTGACATCCTATAGGATCAACTTCCTTCAATCTCTTGTTGCTGAGCACGGGCAGTTTGATGAGCTCCTGCTCAGGTTTTCAGACTGGATTAAGCAGTTTCTTGCTGAACTACAAGCCACTTCAGAGATAAACACAGCTGATCAACAACTAGCTGCATCTCACAATAAGGTAAACTTTTGGATGTAAATATTAAAGACAGAGAAATTGTACAGTGCATTCAGCTAAATATACAGCTAAAACTAGCATGAGGTCATTTATTTTTTTGAAAACTGATACACTGCTGCAGTCACATACAGATTTCTGTTCTTTGACCAGTTTAAAGCAAAATTGTAACACTGAACTGTTCTAACTGACATCCCCCCGCCCCCCAGTAGTACTTGTTTTGCTTGTAAGTTTAGTACTAAAATGTTTTCTGAGCTTTTGATTGGAAGAAGAAGCCCAGCCTTATTTTCTTTCTTTCCCATAGAACCACTCAATGGAAGTCGAAAGTAAGAAACAGGAGTTACAAAGTCTGAAGGAACATGTAGATAAATTGTGTTCTTTCAGCTGCCCAGAGGACCAGCAGACATTGCAGGGAAAGACTGAAGATTGCTTTCAGATCTTCCAGGAGGCAAGTCAAATAACTTGCCAAAGACAAGAGGCTCTGGATCAGCTGCGGGTATTCCTGGAGCTCCATAGTGCTGCGTCAGGAGTGCTCCACCAGCTGAGGCAGACAGTGGAGAAAACAGGAAATATGGATAAAGCTAAATCTGAATTACTGGAGAAGGAATTCAATGATGTTATTCAAGATCTTAACAGGCTGGAATCTGTTGCCATCAGTTTGGACGGTTCCCTTACTAAGGCCCAGTATCATCTAAAACACAGTACTTCCGAGCAGAGGATCTCCTGCAGGGCTGTGGTGGATAATCTGTGCTTGGAACTGGAGGCAGTTCAAAGCCTACTGGGAACCAAACAGAGTGAGGCAGAAGCTCTTGCAGCCTTGCGAAGATCTTTCATGGAACGTAAAGAACAGCTACTGAAGAGTATTGAAGATACTGAGGAAAAGGCTGACAAGGAAGGCCTGACGGAGGCAACACTACAAGCCCTCCAGCAAAGGTAAAGCAATATTAATGCTTGAGAGTGGCACTTCTTCATTTGCTTGCAGTCTCTAGACTTTTTATGATGCACTGGAGGCATGTGTGAGTTATCTGCCTGGGTACTTTATTTCTTGCCAGGCATATATAAGTCCATATATCTACTTAATAAAATTTTGTAGGTAAGTGAGATGTTTAGAAGGAGGGAGAGCACTTAGCAAGTCCCGTTAATCTTTTATATTGAATGAACAGTCAAGAAAATATTTGTCTCAGAAATTTATTTTGTCTGAATGAATCCAAACTCAAACAGCTATTAGAAATCCCATATAACATATCTACTCTTGCAGAATTGAAGGCTACATGTGCTGAAGGAATTGAAAACACTTACTATAATAAAGTATTAAACTAAATATTTGAGTATATTTCCAAGTCACTGTATGAGGTGAAGGTATATATGTATCTATATAATTTTATAGTTGTATATGTATCAGAAAAATCACATTCTGAGCCCATTTGTGGCAGAAAAAAAATCCAGATAACACTTTGTTTTCTGAAGATACTGTTAGAATAAGGGAACTTTATGCACAGTGACTTATGCACAGCAACTTTTTCGTTCTTCCTGTCTTCTCTTTTCTCTTACAAAAAAAAAGTGAAGATAAGTAAATTTGAAACCTGCTTTTTAACTTGCAGATTGAGGATCTTTAACCAGTTAGATGAAGAATTGAATTCTCACCAGCATGAACTCCAGTGGCTCATGGACAAAGCAAAACAAATAGCCCAGAAAGATATTACACTTGCTCCTGAGATCGACAAAGAGATAAATCGTTTAGAATCTCTGTGGGAGGACACCAAGAAAGTTATACATGAAAAGTAAGTAGATCTTAGACTTCAGGTGAGAAAGGACAGGATTCTTTTAGTGGGGGAAAGAGACCCAGTTATTTACATTTAGTGTCGTCTTGCCACATTACTCCCAATAAAAAACAGGGCTTTTATGTTAAATACTGAGTAGAAGATAAATCACAGCATAAACCAGGATATTTGTACCAGTTGTAATTATACTATTAATAAAGCCACAGATAGGTCCTCAGGACAGTACTTATAGATCTACTGGGCTTTTAGTTGCATGCTATTGTTTACTCTCCTGAAAGATAAGAAATGTCCATTGAGATTTCACTATCATTCCAACTAGCACATACTCTCCTTCTAGCACGGAGAGTTCCTTCTCTATTGGATATGTGTTTCTGACAACCCTATATTCAGTGGTCCTAAATCATTCTTAGATTTAAGTCTTTCTGTCTGTCCAAGGGACCAGGCTCAGAACAATCATTAGTGCATAATCAGTGATATAAGACAGTTTTGTATATCAATGAAAGTTGATAAAGAAAGGAACTAAAGAAACTAAAGTTTCATCTTACCCTTTTCTTTGTCTTAGCTGCCTGTTCGTCGTCTTGAAGAAAACTTCTTCACACTTTCTTGTTAAAATTTCCATGGTAAAATTAAGTGCTAGATTCATTCAGTACTATATCATCCTCAATGTACATCAATTTTGTCTTAAGTGCAGAAGCAAAATAGTTCTTAGCCTGGCTAATACTTCAATGGGCATATGCAATTTCATTTTTCAGTAATTTCATTTGTGCTGAAAAATGGTTTTTTTCCCCTTTGGTTTATAAACTGTACTGCCATTCTATTTTCTTGACTGACACCATACAGGTTTTTGTAAATATGCTGCCCCCTAACCAGATCTGTGCATTATTTCCCTCTTGAAAGCATGCACAGCTACATGAATTGCATTTCTGGTGGTTTTTTTTCCAGCTGAATTCAGTCTGGTTTTCTACTGCATTTTTAAGAGATGTATAAATCTGAACTAAGTGGAAGAAAAGGATAACTTTATTTAAAAACATCCATCGCTCCTTTTTCTTCAGCACTGCTGTTAATACATTATTTCATGTTGCATGTTGCTGCAACCTGTTCTTCTTACCTCTAGAAGTCCTTAATAATAGTAAACCAAGTAATTTCTGCATACATGTGCCAGAAGCTAGACAGTACCATCCTGGTAGTGAAGAAAACATAAAATAGCTGTCCCTGCATTATAGATGCATTATTGAGGGGAAATGAGTTGTCCATACTAGGGTAGTTGTTGCCATCTTTATACCTAAAACTCAGGTGCCTTGTGATTCATGTCTAACATAAATTAATAATTTAAACAAAAATTAACATTATTTTAAATTTTAATTATTTTGAACTATTTTCTTTCTCATATAGACACAATCTTAGACCTTCATGAACCTGATTGTTTTGGAGAGCTCTGGAGCATTCAGAGAAGCTCCTAAAGCGATCACCTCTCTTGGCAATGTCATGTTTCCCAAATTCCTTTAATTGCAAACACTGTTCTACAACTAAACATATCCCAAATATTAGTCTTCCTTCTTTCTCTTCAGTATAGGAATGGATTGAATAGTTTTGGTTTTTTTTCTTCTGTCCATTGCCTGAGCAGAAATAGGCTTTTCTGGAGAGTGGGTGGAAAAAAATATTAGGCCTGTTCTTAGCAGCAGGTTATTCTGTTCTCAGCAGAATGACAGGTAAGTTGAATGTAATGTTTTAGACCTGAAAGCATGTGTCTGACAATTGGAGGACAAAATAGTCAGACTTATCTTGCATTTCTTTAGTCTTTACTTCTGCTTCTTTTACTCAAAAACATACTCCATGCTAAAGAAACAAGTTTAAAAAAATGAGCTGCAAATGCCAGCATCATTATAGTGTGGTTTCCAGTCAGTAAGATGCTAAACATAGGAAGTGAGAAGCTTGAATTCCAGTTTCAGTCTTTCTTTTACTCAAGTCAGTTGCTTTGATATCTGATGGCAATATCTGAGATACCTGGGTATCTGAGATGGCGCTTCGGATACTGTCTCTTCGGCAAGATGTTTTGTGATGTATGGATCCACAGTGATTTGTAAAACCTAAATATTAGTATTTCCTTGGCTGCCCAAAACATGTTGAGCACTGCACCTTGATTTTCCCATGGTGATTCACTATGTCACATTCTGTTTCCTTCTGAAACATGACAGCAAGTGGTGTTAACACAGCCTTTTCACATTACAGAAAGGAACAGTCCTGTATTCTTATTGATCTGATGAAGGAATATCAGAGCTTGAAGTCAACAGTAGTGAAAGTCATAGAGAGCGCTGACAGCGCTTCTGTGATCAAATCCATTTGGAAGGATCATGAAGATGTCAGGCGAACTTTATCAAAGGTAATTACATATATTTTCATTTGAGGGATTTAAATGATCTTTGATTTAGATGGATTTTTCTGTTTGAAAGGTGCCCTTGAGCTGTGTTTAAAGTTCCTTGAATTTACTGTCAAATTTTGTCACACTGACATTCAGGGTTTAAATTGTACTGATTCTGATGATGAAAGAATATAGTCCTTTCAACATTTTGGTGAGATCCATTAATGTGTATTTGATTGTTGCTAGTTATAATTTTAACACCTAGAAATACAAAGTTCAGTTTATATGGAAAGCATAAGTTATTTACTATTTATGTAAAATACCTCAAGAATATATTCCTATCATAGTATAAGAGGATATTTCCAGACAACAACTTCAATATTTTTCCATATTGGGTAATTTTTTGAATTGATAAAAGTCATCAAAAGAAAACGAATTGCACACATTTCTGATGTGTGCAACTCTTATGCTTGTCTCTTTCCATTGAGCAGATATAAGGAATTTGGATCCCTGCATTCCATCCATTTTTATAGTATATTATTATATTAGGATAGTATTTCTAAAATTCTAAATTCTGCTCTCCATCAGCCTGTCAGGAAAAACAGTTCTGAGTTCAATTCTTTCCATTCATTTGGAGGGTAATTTCATTTAGAAGCTCTTCATTCAAAATTCTTCAGTCAGATCTGTATAAGCCTCATTCTAAACAGTGCGTATTTATGGCCTCTTTTTAATAGACATTTTAACTAGAACTGAAAGCCAGAACAGAGCTTGCCAGTCTAACAAAGAAATGCGTGTAACTGCCATATGATTTCTCTCCTTAATGTGAGCCTTGGGCTGTGGAGAATTCCTTGCTAAAACAGTGGCCGCATCTAGGCCTGAAGGAGTTGGAGCATAATAAATATTGTGCACAAGTCCTAACATAATAAAGCAGGCACAGCCACATGGCCATACTGCATCCAGATTAGTAGCTTATCTCTAATGCTGATCTGTAATACTGGTTAAAGTATTAGATGCTTGCTGTGATCCTTTCTCAGTATGTTGT